GTTTTTGCTGGTTTCGCGTTTATTTTGTGTCTAGAGATATGAAGTCTTCTTTTCTCTTTCTACGGCTCGGATATGGATGAATTCGTGAATGATAAGGTTCTCAAAGTTAGTGTAGGTAATTCGTTTCTCAAAGTGGCATGTTAATTGTGAATGATGAGGTTCCATGAAGCTAAACGTGTTTATATAGTGATATGTTCGGCCTTGTATATATTGATTTAGGCAAACATGTTTTGTTTCTTAACATGAAAGAATAACAATATATATGCCTTTTGCAGGCTGCTTGCAATGAGCAACTGGAGAAGTATGAGAGAGCATTTCTTCTCCATCTGTTACAATAGAATAGTTAAAATAACGCTTACAAGGTAGGATATAGCTGCACCTAAAAGCTGTTTCCTTGCTCCTGTATTTTGCCTAACATTAGCTGGAGAACATTATGAGAAACTTTTTTGGTTAGTGATTTATTACGGTGATCTTCTGTCAGGAGCTAGGAGAGCTGCAACGAGAGTATGGTGACAAAGCTGATCCTGGACCATCTAGTCACATTTTTATAGAATCTTCCCTCAAGAAGCTATTGCATGATCCTGATGTTCCTAATGGTGCGATCACAACTCTCCAGAGTACGTAAACAGTGAGTTAGAGGATTCTATTTCTTTCTACCTGATATTTTACATTACACTCCTGCAAGCTTCTTGTTTTCTGCCAGCTTAATTTTCTGTGTTATATCATCATGTGCCAATTTTGAGTTGAATCTTTAAGGTTTGATGTGCAACCTGGAGGGAATTTCAAAATTGGATCTATTGATAAAGACGAGGTCATAACAATTAGAACATTTCTTGCTATGGGATTACAAGGAGACATTTGCCCCTACAGATCAAGAGGTATACATTGCTCTTGAATCCTTGATATGTGCATAAAGCCACGCGAGTAGTGTCCTGCTCGTAGGATAAACATTTATTGCTTAACTTCCTTTAACACAGATAAGTGAATGAAAACATAGCAATAGGACAGTAACTACAATTTTTAATTGCAGAACGGATACTGGAATATAACCATGCTATAGATACAATATAGATTGTGACGCAGCTTTGTCAATTTTTATAACCTGCCTTTTGAGTGATGGATTTCTTTTCTTTGTTTGGAATTGGCAACCCAGAGCTTGTCTATCACTGTCGGATAACTCCACAAATGTTGATTTAATTTTCTGGCTGTTTTTCTTCTTTGGTGTATTATCTTGTTTTCATGTAAAAAACACGGATAAGGTGATGGCTTACTCAGCAATATTTAGGGAGTCAATTAGCTTGGTGACAATCTCAATTACTATTTCAGAATATTAGAACACAATCCTCCCAAGTTGATTAACTCCCTAGTGATTGCTGAGTAAGTAGTCATCACCTTAGCCTATTTTTAATGATTGTGCATATTGTAAGCAATGATCTACTTATTCAAGAACCTCTTTCATTATATTGATACTCAATTGTAGTAGAGTTTGATAAGTCATTGTTGTCTTTTCTTTAAAATGCGTTTTAAGAATACAAGAGTTTGATTTTTGTTTTAGGTTTGGACTCTGATGAAAATATATATATATATAGTACTAGATTTCGAGCCAACAATACTAGTAGGCATGTTCATTTCAAAAATAAGACTAGAAATCGCCGGATTGGCATTGATGGGATGAGATTAATAACAATGATGTGGTAGTAGAATTTCCCATATACTCCCGTGGTAGTATAATACTAGTCCTAAATACTACCGTAGTTGTATTAAGAAGAATTTAAAACAATTCTAATTGGGCTCGACTAGCAGAAGAAGCCTAGCAAACGAGTTGGGCCTGGCCCACTAATTCTGGAAAACATCGAAATAACACTTTGTACGAACGAGCGTTACAACACTCAATTTCTGCGTTCTCTCCAAACCCTAAAATACTTTCTCTCTGCTCCAAGTTTCCATTTTTCACGACCTCGAGTTTGTCGGTGGAATCTGAAATTTGAACCCTTTTCTCTCTCCCTCTCTCTAAATTCTTATAATTCGTTCGATTCACTGAATTCCGGTGTTCGTCAATGTCATCGTAAATACCCTTTTTTGGGTATTTGAAGAATTTCCTGTGATCTGTCTGAAATTCGCCGATGGATTCTGGAAATCATGAAGTTGTCGATCTTAGTTCAGACGATGAAGTCGATACAAAGGTAGATAGAGACTACTTCGATTGGTTAAACGAAGTTATGGAAGCCGTCGAGGAGAAATCTGAGAGTACCGATGTAGTCGAGGTGATTTCTGAGGTTAAAGGCAGCGTAGATTCTCAGTATCGAAAGCCCAATTCATCGATTCAAGCTGTG